TGGCAATTTACCTCAAGAACTCTTGGTTTAGAATGTAGTCTCGAATACTCTGAGCGTTGCGACAGACTAAGATTAGAACCACTCTGGAAAAGACGTCTTAAGCTAAACCTAATTTTTTACTACAAGCTAACTAATCTGCTCGTGCACTCCTCCGAGCCAATAATTAAACCTACCGCTGTCATCAGTTACAATCTTAGAAATCATCACAACCTAGCTGCTATAGAGCATTGTCAGACTTGCATACGGTACAACTTCTTCTTAAATAAGTTTTCAGTCATTTGGAATGGGCTACCAGCTAATGTGCATGATGTAAACACACTTCCAGTGTTCATCTCCTCAGTCACCAGACTGCTCAAAGATGACAATGTACTTCTGCGTCTGACTCCTCTTTTTCACCCTTCTTAGATATTTTAAATTCATTAAGCGTATAAGTAACGGCAAAGTACAGTTATAAATGTTAATATTATAGGAAGGATATGATAAACATTTCTACACAGGACTAGTTAGTTAGTGTACCAAAATAATCATAGTTCCTACACAGAATATATATACATATAAATTTATTAATCACTCCTCCACTTGCTTTCTTTCATGTTGCTGTCTTTTGTCTTCTTTTTTCTCTCATCATTTTAGCTTCTATATGAATTTTTGAATGAGAATAAAGAATGTAGACATTTGACCACTCACAATGACAAATGATCTGCAAACAATACCGGTCCTAAATCCTGCAACCGCCTTGTGAATTATCCACTACTTTCACCCACGACGCATCCTGGATTACAGTTGTGGAATACACCTTTATACCAATGAAAAATTTAATCTATAATATTTCACGATTGTAATTTATAACATAACTGATCGTGCCTGTAAAAATGACTTACATTTCTTGTAAACACCCGTTCATAAGAAAATATAAACTATCACTATTTTAAGTCTGCGTTGAATACAATTCACTTCTGGTGTTACTTACGATGAAAGCGCTGACAAAATTACACCAATACATCACTTATTTTAAATTAATAACCCATTCAGATAT